GATTCTCCAGCTGTAAAATTCAAGTATTAAAGGGAGAGTGTTATGTGTTCTCGAGTCAGCAAAGATGCTTACAGTACGTAATGTTACAGCGATGTTTGCCACAAGTGGATTTCTTTGTCATCTACTGTACTTGTGCAGGGAGGAACACGATTTCACTCTTCCCTCATCAGAACGTTTTTTGTCCTTGTTAAGTGGAAGCCAGGAGCCTTGTAGGGAGAAACATCTGAGAATAAATCTTTGGGCTCCGCTGCTACGCCTCAGCAGAGCCAGAGCCTCACACCTCAGCTCTGTGACTGCTGGACAAAAGAGCTCCACTTTCTGGAAAGGGCAGGGAGCAGTTATTACCAGCCTCAAAACTGCCATGTTAAAAAAGTCCCACTGGGCTGTGAGCAGTAGCAGAGGCTGTAATGAATGTATTGGGAAAAGAAACTGTAATTTTCATTATTGGGTGTGAACTAAGAATGAACATTTTACAAAGGCCTAATCTGGAGTGGTGTCAGCACCTTTTTTCTCTCCTCTGTAACGAAATAAATAATTGTTAGTGCCATAAGTCAAGTTTAAATTACACAGGAGTACTCAATTTGCCTTGGAATTAAACTGTCACGTTATTTTTTGTTTTTGAAACTTCGGGGTGCCTGAAGAAAGAATCACACACAGTAAATACTGTTAGTGGATCGAGGCCATATGCAAATATCTTCACAGTGGGTGCTGTCCACCTGTTTTGGGCTTTATTATGATGGTATAACTTGCCAACAAAACTGCATTGCTTTATCTGTAGTAACTCAGTGAGTCTTTAATATATTGGGTTAAATATAGAAGATGTTCTGAAACGTGGCTATAATATTACAGTATATACTGTACGATTCTGTGCTGGTATACCAGTCTCAGGAACATCACAGGTATCTCCTCCTGTGTAAGCACTTTTACTGACAATTGATCGACAGCCTTTTGCTGATCTTGAATGTCATTTGTAATTTTACGTATATTGAGAAATAATAAATGACTTATCTTAGCACAAGAACACCAATTCTTAGCGTTCCAGTTCATGACTCCGCCAGTGTCACAGCTCATTTGTTCCACAGTGCAGCTGGTTGCAGTCCTGGTGCAAAACCCCTTCAGATGTGTACACACCAAGCAGGACAATTAGAGTACGTGTCATAATTATATAATGGAACAAGTATAGGTTTATTCCCTGCTGAAAAGAGAAGAAAGAAAACACAAGGTTTTGGCCATGGAGCCTTCTTCAGGTGTGAGCATAGTCTCATGACACGTGCCATGGCAGAGATGGAACCACCTACTCTGAAAACACCATACCTGGTGCTCCCTGGACATCCATTATAATTATATAACCCTGCACTGTATGTTCGTAACAGACTTGGTGTGAAGTATTAATGCTACAAAAGGAGCAACCTTTTGCAACTGTTTGCAGCAACTGTTAAGTGTCTGTTGTGTTGAAGTAAACATGGTGATGCATGCAGAGATCTATCTATATGCAAAAAAAGATGGTTTAGAGATATAGAGATTTTAAGCTTTCTAAAACCGTGATGAAAATAATGTCTGTGATGTGCCCTTGATCAAGGGCCCTTCTAATCAATTGTAATTTCAATTATGGGGTCAAAGCCTGAGAAACTCCAGTCGGGATTCGAATTGATCCATTTTTTCTGCTTGAATACTGATGCCCTCTCCAGTAATTACATTTTCCTTTGAAAGGGCACAGGGTTAAAAGACCGACAATACAGTGTTACGGTAAAACTTCAAAACAGGACGACTATTTAAAATCAATGCACACATCGGATTGTGCTGAAGAACATCAGCTGGCTGAAGAAGAGGACGTGTACTGAAACAGTACGGCTGAGGGCCTTGACAGATGGCGCAGTCTGGGGGCACCGCTCGCCTGAGCCCCCTCAGTTAGGAGTCCTGGAACCCCAGTGCACCCCGGGCCTGTGTGTTGGACTGGTATTCAGGGAAGAGGGTTTCATATGCAGATGGGGGAGGTGTGTGTGGGGGGGGGTACTGGGGACTGCAGCAGAAAGTGAAATGTGCAGAAATCCAAATAACAGAGAAAAATATCAGCCTCCTTTCATGTTGTTTTTTTTTTCCATGCGATGCCGGTGATGCATCAGGCCTTTTAACTTAGTGCATCATTAAAGCAAGTGACCTTTTACCACTTACTGGTTAATTGGCATCCAGGTGGTTCAGCTCTTTAGGATTACGGACGGATTTCTCACTTTGCGTTTGGAAGCAAACGAAGGCGCTCAGTGTGTTAGAGATCCTGCAGTGAAGCTGTGTGTGTGTGTTCTGGCAGGTTAGGATTAGCAATGTTTTTAAGATGGTTCTAAGGAACAGGTGTGTGTCTCTGATACACATCTGTTCAGCGCCGGGCAGAGAGATCTTTCCCAGATGCGGTGTCATTGTTCGGACCACCTCCTGGGGTTTTGCTTCGCTGTCTCACATTTGCAACAAGATGACACTCATCAGATCACGATAAAGGTTGCTTTCTTGTCGAGTCTTAATTTAATGCTCTGCCGTAACGAATAGTCCTGCCTGTCTGAAGGCTGTGCTCCAGAGTATAGACAGCTCCATCCCAGAGGGAAAGTTACTTTCAAGTCTGGCGTCAGACTGAGCTTGCTTGGGAAGACTCCTCTGTTTGCTGTGGCTGTGTGCATCACTATTTGTCTGATTCCATTTAACAAATTAGTGTAATGCGAAACAGTATCACTTTTCCGATATTGAAGGAGATCGATTTTTACTTGAAGCTCCCAACCAGAGGCTCAGGGCATAATGGGATTCGTCTCCCCATTATGAAGCGGAAGGGAACGTGTCATTGATCCAACACTTGCTGGCTGCTAATATGAGATTTATTTATGTCTGGAACAGTGCCTCCGATGCAGGAAATGTTGTCCACAACCACTGAAATACATGATTGCATTCTTAAGCTAAGGCTGCTGCTGGAGGAGGTGTTAGTGGGGCCAGTAGGGGGCGCTCACCCTGCGGTCTGTGTGGGTCCTGATGCCCCAGTACAATGACTGCAGAGACTCGTGGCTGTAGTACTCTGATTCTAGTTTCATCTCTGTCTAGTTGACTAGTGAATGGTGCCGATTCCTGCCCTGGCGGGTGTTTGCCTCCTGTTCAGGACGAGACGCCGGCGGGCCCTGCCGTCACGGGGGGGCCCCTCGCCCCAGGGGTGACTCTGACGTGTTCCTCGGCTCCTTCCCCTTGGCAGGAACCCAGCGGAAACCACACCCCGCCCCAGCTCTCGCCCTCCCTCAGCCAGAGCACGTACACGACCGCCGGCTCGCTGGACGTCCCGCACATCATCATGCAGGCGGACGCCCGGAGGAGGCGGAACGAGAACTACTTCGATGACGTCCCCAGGTCCAAGCTGGAGAGGCAGATGGCCCAAGTCAGCATGGTCAGTACCCGTCCCCGGGGGTATCGGAGAGCCGCCTTCCCTGAGCTCCTCCATTGGCACACTCAAAACCTTCTCCTTTCGATGGGCCTTCACTGAGCTAGCTCTATTATGAACCCCTCTGCTCCTGCTGTACTCAGAACCCCGTCTACTGTCTCCTCTCATTGTGTATCCCCACTGTGTATTTGTGTTGTAGTCGTTCTGTAAAGCGCTTTGAGTATCCACCTTTATTATTATTATTATTATTATTATTATTATTATTATTATTATTATTATGCAAAGCAACAAGTAATAGGTTTATTCCATGCTGAAAAGAGAAGTTTCGGCTGTGGACCCCTCTTCAGGTGTGAGCTTCACGGCCGAAACTTTGTGTTTTCTCTCTTCTCTTTTCAGCAGGAATAAACCTATTACTTGTTCCTTTGCAGCCTACGCCTGCTGACGCAGTTCCCCACCTGGCTTATTATGATTATTGTTACCATCATCATCATCATCATGACTACTTTCACTTCAGAAAAAAAGTGCGCTCGGGTTTAGAAGCACAAACATGTCTTTGGGCTTTTGAAGTCGCCCTCTCTCCTGCGGGTGCTGGAGAGGACTGGGCTCAGACCGCAGCCTCCCTGCTGGGCGAATTACAGAGCCTCGGCCCCTGCCGCAGTTTCGGTGAAACAGAGCAGCTCAGCGAAAGGGGGCGGAAGGAGTCATGCCTTTCTCGCCCGGAATATTTTGCGAACAGTGTGAGGAAATACGGAAGCGCACCTCCGCCGCCAAGGGAAAAAAAAAATCCTCGCCCTTATCTCGTAATTACGAGAAAATTATCTCGTAATTGCCAGATAAGGAATAATCGTAATTACGAGATAGCGAATTATCTCGTAATTACCAGACAATTCCCTCTAAATTGCGAGATAGTAAATCTGGCGCACTTTAAGTGATCACGCAGCAGCGCAATTGTCGTATCATACCATATCGCTACACGCGGACTTGACAGTTTTAAGCATTGGGAGTCATTGCATGTTCATAACGGACCCACCATTGCTTTGATCTCTAAATCCCACAACACTGGTCCTCATGCTTAGAATGATTCTGTTCATATTTGCTAAAAATGGGCAGATTTCATAATGACTAAACTACAGTCGAAAGTAAATCCGTACACTGTATTCTGCAGCGCTGGCCATCGACACGACCATGAAACCGCAAGAGCCAGCCAAGCTCACGGCGGCTTCAGCGAACAACGTAACAGGTTGTGCATACTGTACACTGGTGTGATCATTTCTATCTCGTAATTACGAGATAAGGGGGCGATTTTCCCCCTCCTTGGTGGCAGCAATTCGCTTCCGTAAGGAAAGGCTGTGAAATGTCAGTGTCGAGAGTCTTTGTTTGCTTCTGATGAATTAATCCATTAAACACAGACCCGCGGGGGGCAGAGTCTCCATCTGGAAAGAGCAGAGCGTTCTTCAAACCTCTTTACCTTTTGTTGTATCAAATCGGAAACATACATTAAAAAAAACGAGAAGATCGATCCCTTACATACAGTACAGTACAGGGGATCAAGTGAATGTTCCACAGTCGGACAGAAATGTCATATTTTGTATGTAGAGCACGATCGTGTAGGCCAGCCTGATCATTAATTGTGGTTGTATTAATTATTCTGACAGTATACACTAGTGCGGCTCACTATTGTGGGTTGCTTTTTAAAAATATTTTAACAATCCATAGTCGCAGCTGGGTAGACGTGTTAGACAAATTAAAATGGCGGCGACGCTTTCAAAACATGGGTTTATTAGTTCCGTAGGTCCTGTCGATTCACATTCAGCAATCAAGATTTGTTGTTGTTGTTGTTGTTGTTGTTGTCATTTTCTCGTTTTCACCCCTGAGGTGAAGCCCGATATCGAGGGGATATCGGAGGGGCTGCCTTGCCGGACCTGATGTAGACATCGCCTGTAGCTCTAACCCCGCCTGGTTCTGGGCAGCCAAATGCATTACAGGTCTGTGCCCGTAGTGTTGCCACCGCTTGCCGTTTGACGACCCCGATCTCCCGCTTGTGATTTCAGCAAGGAGAGTGGTGCGAGCCCATCACTCTGCGGCCCCCCAACGAGGCCACCTCGTCCACGCCCGTGCAGTACTGGCAGCACCACCCCGAGAAGCTCATTTTCCAGTCCTGCGATTATGAAGCATATGTAAGTAATACGGGCTCCTCCTAAATCCTTCGGTGTTGCTGAGTCGAAAAGTGCTGCTCTCGGGGGGCAGGAAACTCGGGGGGCCGTGGCTTTGACACCTGTGTGGAGGCAGAGCTGGGCTGCGCCACCGACAGAGACCTAACGTGGTCTAACTCGGTGGCGCTTGATCTGCGTGAGCAAAGAACCGGCTTCGCTGCACTGTACTGTACGCCTTCGTCTGTAATATGAATCATCCCGTTAGATGCCCACCCCCCCCCAAAAAAAAAATGTGTTTTAATCAAAGTTGCTTTATCTATTTTGCTCTGATAAACGGCAAGCTCGGTCTCTTTGTTGCGCAGATTAATGGGATGAAATGTCTCGGCCGCTTCCCAGAAGAAGATACTGTTTAAATATCGTGCAGCGGCCGTGCGGCGC